CCGTGCCTCCAACTCAACATAAAAACAACCGAATTCTTTTACTCACGTTTCTCCTGAATACCATGAAAGGAAGCATGGTCCCCACAAGGACACACGTATACAATTTTTAATATTAACGTTGTTCCATTGTTCCCTTCCTTAAAAAATTATGCTTCCAGTGTTGAAAAGTTTAAAAGATACAACATGGAGAATAATAAACAAAACACCCAAATAGCCTCCCTCCACAATGAACAAATTTCACATTTTTGCTTCATATTTTCTAAAATAACTACAGTTCAGGTGGAGGCCCCTTTGTACTCTTCCCAGGGGTCTTCACCACCATGGGTGTGGGGTTATCCACCAAATATTACTGCTTTTCCTTTGGGGCACATAGTAGGATAGCTGTTACCTTCCCTCTTGAAGTTGAGTTTGGCCATGTGGCTTGCTCTGGCCAAGGTGAAGGTTTGAGAGACAGGACGATTTCCCTTTGCCTCAGTAACTGGTGGCTCCAGGTCAGCCTGGTCCCAGAGCGAGGAGATGTGGAACACAGCCTCTCTGCTGCCCCCTGATGGACATGCAGCACAAGCAAGAAATACAGTCTTGTTACAAGCTGCTGAGATTTTGGGTGTTTGTTACACTGGCATGGACCTAACCTATCCTGACTGATAAAAGGTGTTTGGTGTTTATCCTTTCACTCCATGCTATTATATTTTTATCACAAATATAAATATCCATAAACAATATATTGCATTGCTTTGGTTTTTTAAAATACATAAATGGCTTCTTGCCATATGGATTATTCTGCAACTTGCTTCCTTCACCCAATATTTTCACCCAATGTTTTTGACGTCTATTTATGCTGATTTATCTATCTCCAGTTCATTGCTGCTAGTTTTGTAGAGTATTCAATTGCCCAAGAACACTAGTTATTTATCCTTTCCCCCTCCTAATGGACATTTAGAGCAGGGCCAATTTTTTCTGATTACAAATAATGCTTCAGTGAACATCCTTGGACATATTTCCAGGTGCACATGTGAGAGTGGCTCTAGGGCATATTCCGAGAAGTGGAATGGCTGACTGGGAGAGTGTGCTCATTTTCAACTTTACCAATTGCCAAATTGCTCTCCAAAGTGATTGTATCAACAGTATCTCTTAAAATTCCCTTTTTTTCTTTTCCCATCCACTGGTTCCACACACTACAACTGCCACACATTTTTCTCCAAAAACCACCCCTGGAATCTCAACTCTTTCCTCCAAAACCCTCTCCTCCAGTCCTGAGCCCCACTCCAGCTCCTACAAAAGCCCAAGAACCGGTCTGACAAGGCCAGAGTGAGGGCAAGGAAGGAACTGAGTCCAGCAGAGCAGAGACCTCTGCATCACAGGAGAGTGGAGGAGGATGGGAGAAATTCTGGAGCCAGGACATGTTAATCATTTGTATGGAGACAATGCTGAATGACATATGCAACTGTCAGGCGCTCCCAGGGCACTGCAGTGTCTACTTCTTCCCAGTGGGTCAGGGAAGAGCCCTTAGACAATTTTCCAAAACAATTTTAGGACAAAGGGCAGCCAAACATGTAAAATTCCACACTGTGGCTGGGCGATGGACCCTCAAGTGTCCTCCACCCAGCTTCAGGGGAAGGCTGAGAGCTTCTATGACACCCTCCTCATGTATGGTCAACAGGGAGTTAGGACATCTTGCCTAAGAGTGCTAACAATTCAATGAATAATTCAAGTTTCTTTTTTAAAATTTCCAAGAATCAACAATTCAAATCCTTTAAAAACTATATAGACAATAATTTAATTTTTTGAGTAATGATTAGAGTATCAACACCAACAATTTTTTGCTTTTGTTTTCTAAATCATGAAGAACAATCCACTTTTTGAAGATGCACAACGTCAGTACTTCAATTCTCTTCTAAAAGTGACAAAGGGGGCTTCCCTGGTGGCGCAGTTGTTAAGCATCCACCTGCCAATGCAGGGGACACGGGTTCGAGCCCTGGTCCGGGAAGATCCCACATGTCACGGATCAACTAAGCTCATGTACCACAACTACTGAGCCCGTGTGCCACAACTACTGAATCCCGCGCACCTAGAGCCCGTGCTCCGCAACGAGAAGCCACCACAGTGAGAAGCCCACGCACCACAATGAAGAGTAGCCCCTGCTCGCCACAACTAGAGAAAGCCCGCGTGCAGAAACGAAGACCCAATGCAGCCAAAAATAAATAAATAAATAAATTTTAAAAAATAAATAAAATATAAATAAATAAAAGTGATAAAGATCAGCGTGGCAATGCTCTTTTTTAACCACAATGTCAACAACTTAGTTCTCATCTTAAAATCATTGAAGTGTCAATAATTCATTTTTTTCAACTCTACCTTAACTAAAAAAAATTTTTTTGTTAATTCAAAAAGAAAAATAAAAACATGGTCACCTTAAAAAAATTCACTTTTTAAATCTTAAGAGTCAACAATTCTATTATATCTTCTTTTTTCAGAACATTCATACTGGTTATGTTTTAGAAACTTCCACTTTGGGAAAGATTTGTAAAAATCACCCACGTTCCCACCTCTCTTACACAGATACTTCTATCATTTTGATATGCTTCCATCCACTTTTTTTTCCATCTACTTCTTTTTCTTTCCATTTAGAAAATCTATCACACAGACATAGAAAACAAACTTATGGTTACCAAAGGGGAAAGGGAGGTGGGGGGAAGGATAAATTAGGAGGTTGGGATGAACATATACCCACTACTATACATAAAATAGTCAGCAAGGACCTACTGTATAGCACAGGGAACTATACTCAATATTTTGTAATAACCTATAAGGGAAAAGAATATGAAAAAGAATAGATATATACATATATACGTATAAATGAATCGCTGTGCTGTAACCTGAAATTAACACGATATTGTAAATCAACTATACCACAATTTAAAAAAATTTTTTAAAAAGAAAGAAAGCTTATCAACAGTTAGATTCAATGGACATGGACTGAGCAGCTGCTGGTATTCTGTGCCAGGCATGGGCAGCGGAGAATGACCCTGGCTTGGGCCGGACCCTCGAGATTCTAGTCTGGACGGGAAGCATGGATGGAGACTTGGTTCATTGTTCTAATGAAGGCCCAGAGTAGTATGGGGCCCAGGGAGCTGGGGTCATAGTGCCATGGGAACCCTGGAGTACTCGATGGCCCTCACTTCCAAGTGATTGAGGCATCAAGGGACTCCTGTGAAACATGAAGCTGTCAAACCTTCTTTTGTCAATTAACACCAAAGACAGTGCTGAGAAACCTCATTCCCTAAAACCAGAGACTGTCAGAAACTTTTTGAAATCATGTCAGGGAGAACAGAACATTCCCCTCTTGTCTGGTGGGTTGGAGCCAGATTTGACACAGAGAAGCAGCCTGGATTACCAGCCCAGGTGCAGAGCTTCAGATAAGGGGTTTCTGGACACAGTAGTTCTATATTGATCTTAACTTTGTGGTGTCCAAGGAAACAAGACCATGAGTTCGCTTCTCAGCCCAAGTCAAATGTTAACCCCTCTCCACACAGTTAGGTTTGCTTTGAGCCTATCAACACTGCTTCATTTCATTTCCACCTAAATTCCACCCTGCCCCCTAACCCTATGATAACCCTGTTTCTGCCTTTGTTTGGCTCCTCTGGGTGTTGTCTCCCTGGCTGCAGCAAGTTAATAAACCAACCTAACTTTGTTAAACTATATCTATGTCCCTGCTGGTCTTTATCAGATTAGCTTTATCATAAAATCCAAGCCTTCTCTGTTCATTCACTTACCCATTTATTCATTCAGTGAACTTTTCCCCAGCCCATGCTCAATTGTATGTGTTGGAAGCATGGTGAGAGGACAGTCAAGGTCCTTGGCCTTGTGGACCCTGCTTCTAGTGGATGAGATAGAATAATGAACAGGTAATAAAAACAGGGTAACAGGCTATAAAGGAATGGGATGGGTGCCTTTAGAAGGGCAGGGCAGGGACTTCCCTGGCAGTCCAGTGGTTAGGACTCCGTGCTTCCACGGCAGGGGGCATGGGTTCAATCTCTGGTCGGGGAACTGAGATCCCACGTGTCGAGGTGTGGCCAAAAACAAAATAAAAAATAAGATGGATTAAATAAAAGACTGGATAGATATGTGATTTAAAAAAAAGAACTGAAGGGGAGGAATGACAATTGGAAGTCCTTACTCTAGTTCAATGCCCCTCATTTTACAGATGGGGAAACCAAGGCTAAGAGGAGGTAAAGGTGGTGACTGCACTGTAGGAGTGAGTGGGAGAAGGGCCCACAGTCGCTAGGGGAGGTGGGGGTAGGGCCATGGCAAGGAGCTCTGGTTCTCCAACCACCAACTCGAGTACCTGGCCATCTAGGAGTTTACTGACCAGTGGTGGCTGTGAAGACAAATGGCACATTTTCCCTTCCCCAGGGACATTGGCTCTGGGGTGATAACCCAGCAGGAGGCACTGAGGTGCCCCTCTTAATTTCGTAGCCCATTCCATTTTGGATAGGCCAGTTGGAAGGAGAACGGGACGGCCAAGTCCCTTCCCTTCAGAAATAAAAGTGAATTGGGAAGTCTGCCTTGGTTCGCATCTCTGCACCTTCTCTTACAGGCTGTGCTATTTAACCTGTGTGCCTTGACTCAAACCAGCTTAGTAAGAATTCTAAATTTCAGTTCTTAACCATGGCAACTGGAAAGTCTGGAATCCAGAGACACACAGGGCTAAGATTCCACCTCCTACGCACACGGGGTCTCCCCTTGGACAGACTGTCAAAGCTCCACGGGCACATGCTCACTATCTGGGGGGTGGGGGGTCTCTTTGGGTACACGGAGACACCTAACGGACTTGCGCCCTCTGTCCATCTGGAGTGACTCCACGGGAAGCCATACAGACCACTGACAGCCAACAGCAGCCAGCCAGCCAGCCAGCCCTCTTATTTTGGTTTCTTTCCTCTGGGTGGTGCAAAGGCTTAAGGGTGTAACCTCAGGGTGGGGCGCTGACTCAGCTGCCAGCAGTCTCCAGGAGTGTCTCGATTCCTGCTTCATTCTCTTTCCATTTTGCTGGGCAAACTGCGGCTCAGAAAGACAAAGGCCTTCCCCACAGCGGAAAACCTCCTAGGCCGTACCCAAAGCTCCGCACGGTCGGGAGAACTGGGGACTGAGGGAGGCCAAGAGACCAGAACGGGTTAAGATCATGAAGCTGCGGAGCACCGCCAAGGCCTAGAGAGACCGGGCGCCTCGAACCCGGTTCCCCCTCCGCTCCCAGCTTCCGGGCGGGGCGCGACTTCCGGTTCCGACGGCGGGCTACAAAGCTTGGCGCCGGGAAACTGGTTTTTCGTTCCCGCAGCCGGCAGCGGGGTTTCGCGTCTCATCGCCAGCCGCCCCGTCTCCCCGCCTTCGGAGGGGCACCTGCGCAGGTGAACTCCCCTTCCCGACCCCGGCGCCTCCCCTCTCCCGCGCACCGTCGGGTGGGAGCGGACGGCCCTAGGAGCAGGGAGCCCCTGTCCGCGGGGTGTGCCGGCTGCTCGGCCTGCCGTGGCCTTGGGCCCCGCTTCAGCCCCGGAGGAGTAGGACTTCCCAGCTCTGGAGCCACAGACGCGCCTTTTCCGGCCGCACCTCGGCCCTCTGAGCCGCGCCCAGGTGGTGGGAGGAGTCGGGCTCAGATCCCTGCGGAGACGCCGGGGATTTTTGTACTGGGCTGAGTGGTCCCGCCACCTCCTAGCCTTGTGACCTTGGGCAAGTCCCCTTTCTCCGAGCCTAAGTTTGTCAGTGGAAATGACAGTAACTGTCATACTGGGTCATTGGGAGCACTGGATGAGGGAAAGCTGTTGCGCAGTATCTGGCTTGTAAAGTTCAACAAATGTAGCGGCGGAGGCTGCCGTTAATGGAGATAACCGGGGCGGTAGAGAGTCCTATCAAGAATTTAACCTGAGTGGCTAAGAGGATCACGTAGAGAATGTGAAACGCTTAGCAGAGTGTCAGGTAGGAAATACGGTTTCCGTAAACTGGAGTTATTAACTGGTGAGGGTAAGCATTCTGTCTGGCAGGGGGGCTTCTAAAACGGATAGGATTTAGAAGCTGGGTAAATCGTGGAGCTGGTCCATCTTTCAGAGCCAACCTTGAAAACTGGCCTACTGACAATTGAGACTGTTCCTAAAAGTCGAGCTTGTAAAAACTTCTGGTGCTAGGAACTAGACGAATTAGTAAAAGGGTGTTTTTCTAAGTGGATTAGGGGTTTTCACGCAGAAAGGGTTTGAGCAGGAGGGGAAAACCTGAAAAGTTTCTTCCTCTTGAGTTGTCGCGAAAGTAATATAGGTGTAGTTAAAAAGAAAACAATACAGAAAGATATAAGAAAAATGTTTCCCTCTCACTGTTGCTGCTCCTCAGAAGTAAAAGGAATTTCTTTGATAACTTTCCAGGTACTGTTTGGGGATATATCAGGTCATATATGCTTATGCTAATTTTTAATTTCCCCAGATGGGATCATACTACATATACTGATCTGCACCTTGGTCACGGGGTGCTGTGTTATGGACAGCTTTACATATCAGCTCTCATGGGCCTCCTTCATTCCTTACGAGGCTGCATAGTATTCCACGGAGTGGGTGACAGTACTTTATTGAATCATCTCCCTGTTGATGGCTTAAGTTGTTCCCAAGATTTTGCTTTCCTACAGTGTTTCATCCAACCTTTCCTTGACTAAATATTTCCTTTTAATTGAAGGCACCTCTGAGATTTGGAGATATTCTGCTTTTGTCCTTCTTATCACCTGGACTAGTTAACAACTTATTTTTGGGGATGAGCACACCCTGTTGATTGAATAAAAATGCAGATAGCATGAGAAGAAGTGGTGTACTCCAAGAATATCTCCGTGATGGGGTCTAGAATCAATTCAAGGCTCCTAGAAAATGGGTCAGTGAATGTTTTAGAGAACAGGTGATTAGGAGCAGAGAACCATTTAATTCACGTCAGCTGGTCAGTGTTGTGATTGTTGGCTTCTGTCAGTTGTTGCGCAGGAAACATTTGAGAATCTTTGACGCAGGAGAGATTTTAAACATCAACAATTCTGCAATATAGAGTAGGAAAGGACTAATCCTTGGGGGAGGTGGTGTTAATTTAAAAAAGATGATCCTTGTAAAGTGGCTTCATCACAGGGATTATGATCTATGATTGGACATTCCTTGTGTGAAAATTAATATAGTCATTTCTATACTGTCATCTGAAGTCTCTCTTTTTTTTTCTTTTAAATAAATTAACATAGGTTGTGGTTTTCCTGTAAATAATCCCTCTTTGGACTGGGGCTCTAGCCCAAATGAAGCAAAACCTTTTTTCCCAACATTTCACAGGTATTTGATTTGCCCACCTGACCCCCATCCTCCTTCCTCCCACTACAGCTGGTTTGCTAATCCTGGAGCTGTCAAGCAACCGATGAGTCAGAAATGTATGCTGCTAGGCTTCTGACAAGTTCAATTTCCCATACACGGTGGGAGCTTAGGATCTTGATCTTAACATAAAGGCTTTTTTCCTTTTTTTTTTTTTTAAATTGCCTTAGACTCCACCCTGATGGTAGCTCCTAAAGTACCTTTTAAAAAAAAACTTATTTATTTATTTGGTTGCATCGGGTCTTAGTTGCAGCAGGCGGGCTCCTTAGTTGTGGGTCGCTGGCTCCTTAGTTGCAGCATGTGAACTCTTAGTTGGGGCATGCATGCGGGATATAGTTCCCGGACCAGGGATTGAACCTGGGCCCCCTGCCTTGGGAGCATGGAATCTTAACCACTGCACCACCAGGGAAGTCCCCTAAAGTATTTTAAACACTTGCTATTCTTTCATTCTCATGAAAGAGAGGGAGGGACATGGAAAAGACAGTAGAGTTGGATGTAAATGAACAGACCTTTTTCTCCTCTATTTTAGCACTTCTTCATAATTTGCTTTTGGACATAGCAAATGCTCCATAAAAGTGGCTGGAGGAAGCAAACACCCATGATTTTAAAGATTTCCCCTACAAATCATATGCGTATATGTTTGTATTGGGGGAAAAAAATGGATGAAAGATTTTCCAGCTAGCAAGGCCAGCATTCTTCATTCTTTCTTCTTTGAGAATCTACATCTTACATTTTGGCAAACTACTGATACATTTTCTCAATTGTGTCAGTTGATCCAGCAAGAGGAAACAAAAACAGAATTTCTAGTAGCTTTTTTTTTTAACAGTTTATTTATTTATTATTTTTTTTTGTGTGTGGCTGCATCGGGTCCTGGTTGCAGCACATGGGATCTTTGTTGAGGAATGCGGGCTTCTCTAGTCGTGGCATGTGGGTTTTCTCTCTCTAGTTGTGGTGCGCGGGCTCCAGGATGCATGGGCTCTGCAGTTGTGGCGTGCAGGTTCCAGAGCATGTGGGCTCTGTAGTTGTGGTGCGCGTGGGCTTAGTTGCCCCTCGGCATGAGGGATCTTAGTTTCCTGACCAGGGATCGAACCCGTGTCCCCTGAATTGGAAGGCGTATTCTTTACCACTGGACCACCAGGGAAGTCCCTTAGTAGCTTTATTAAGAAACCCCGTTAAGTTTGAAAAGTTGATGGAACCTAGGTCTGGACCAGATCCATGTGATCAAAGAGGTTTTAACATCCTTTGTTTTTGCTGACCCTGACTTTTCTCTTTGTGCCTAGGAGTCTGAGAAATCCTTTTCCAGAGTTCTAGAATGGAGACTGAAGGGTACCCAGAGATACAAAGAAATAGAGAAATCCAGAATGATGAAGTAAGGTCATCACCAAATGAGAGGATGGCTGAGGAGCCAGAAGTTGTCCTGATAACACTTCCCCAGGTCCAGGTTCCACCAGAGAGCCTCGATGAAGACTCTGAAGAAGACCTTGAGACTGTGCCCCGAGGGAGTCCTCTCAACCCTGCAGCCTCCAGGCAGAGGTTCCGGCAGTTCTGCTATGAGGATGCAGCTGGCCCCAGGGATGTCCTCAGACATCTCCAGGAGCTTGCTGGACAGTGGCTGAGACCTGATATTTACACAAAGGAGCAGATTGTGGAAATACTGGTGCAGGAGCAATTCCAGGCCGTCCTCCCTGAGGAACTCAGAGCTTGGGCACAGAGATGTCAGCCTGGGGTCAGAGTCACTGGCTAAATCCTACTGCTTGCTTCTTGCCCAGCCTACATGTGAGAAGTAACCAAAGGCTCTCTTTGTTACAAGATCCAACTGCAGTCATGGGAAATCTGAACTTCGGTTTTCTTTGAGCTTGCATTTGACTAGCTGTAATAAGAATTAACCAAAACCTTTTTTTGGCTGAAGCAGCTCTATTACCTGGGACTGTGAACTCCAGAATGAGTTTCCCTGCCCTCTTGTAAGGACAGTCAGCCCGCTGCTTGTTTTTGCTCTGCTGAATGCCTCCTTTTTTGTACTTTGTGACATGCTTTAATATATTAAAGCATGTTTTTATGTATCCAAAGAGGTGATTGCTTCAACTTTAATATTCTTGATTCTTGTTGTGGTGGCATGAATGGAAGCTTCTGTAACCCCACCAGTAACTCATTTGGGATGTCCTTGAAATATTAAAGCTCTGTTTTTAGGAAAAATGTCCTTTGATGATTTACCAGTTTAGCTCTTAGTAGTCAGCATTTGAGAAAGGTGAGATAATTATCAGGAGTAGATGTGAGCTCGAGATAAGAACTGTGTGGCATTCGCTGAGCTGGGAAATAGGAACAGGCCTGGCCTTTGTTTTCAAAGTCAGAATTTAAATTGGACAAAACTGAGAGGCGTAAAACAGGGTCATAAGAGGTAACTCTCAGGCAGGGCTGTTTGATTTGCTCTTTCTCCATTTTCATCACCTTTGTTCTACAGCTCGTCTTCCTGTAAGAGGACTCACTCAACCATCTGACAATTCTGCTCTTCCCGAAACAGAGGCCATCCTGGCTTTGTGTGTGTGGAGGCCTGTACTTTGGTTGACAGCTGAGACAGAGCAGTATCTCTGGTTGTGACAGGCAGAGAGGGAACAGCAGCTGCTTCCCCAGCATGACCCAGTCTTGAGGAACCTTTCTGTCTCTGCGGCCTGGCTTTGGGATTTGTAGATCCGTTCCTGTAACACACTTGGTACCAATTCGGAAACTAATCTTTTGGGATAGGGGCTGCTTAACTCCATGCTGGAACTCCTGTTGATTCTGCTGATGTTTGTTTAGTACTTCATGTGCCTTTGGGACTCTTCTAGATGCTAGCATATAAATACTATAAAACCAAGTTTGAAAGAAATGCATAGTTTTTGAGGAGAGGAAGAAGCTATACAAATATATCATTAGACATGCTAGAGTAAAGCTAGTTTTCCTTTTGGCATCTGGTTTTGCGAGAGCACTAAGAAACATGATGACCTAGAGGGGTGGGATAGGGAGGATGGGAGAGAGGCTCCAGAGGGAGAGGATATGGGGATATGTGTGTATGCATATGGCTGATTCGCTTTGTTGTACAACAGAAACTAACACAGTATTGTGAAGCAGTTATACTCCAATAAAGATCTATTGAAAAAAAATGTTAAAAGCAAAGAGGAAATAGCTAAGGGAAGTGGCGTTTTAATTGAACTTTAGGAGTAGGAGATCACTGGACAGAAGGTGCACCTTTTGCAAAGAGTAAAATTTAACATTGGCAAAGGAGGAACTCTAAGTGTTGTATCTTCAGTACTTCAGTTTGTTCCAAACATTCTGAAGGTATTTCCTTTAGTCTGCAGGCATTAGGAACTCCTGGTGTTAAGGAATTTCCTGACCTGCTCCAGTTTCTCAGCTGCTTTGATGGCCTAGAATTTAGCATGCAAGTAAAGGGCCAGAGTTTACAGGTGGACCAAAAAGTTTTCATTTTGCGGGTTTTATTACAAAACAGCTGAGGTTTCCTGGATTGAGTGCACTTAGCACTGGTTTTTCTCAACCTTGGCACTTTGGGACCAGGTAATTCCCTTTTGTGGGGACTTGTCCTATGGATTATAGGACGTTCAGCAGCATCTCTATCCTCTGCTCACTAGTTAAAAGTAACACCCCCGAGATGTGACAACCAAAATGTCTTCAAACATTGCCAAATGTTCCTTGGGGGCAAGTTTGCCCCTGGTTGAAAACCACTGGTTTTAAGGAGGAGAGTTCATCTAGACATGCCACAGATTACCCTCAGGTCCATGGTCTCTTAAGGTTAATGTTGAATTGAGAAAGCTATTGGAAAAGTTGTATGAATTGGGCTTTATGGTTCCTTTTTTCTCTTTTAATTAAAAAATTCTTATTCAATGTTTAAAGGTTATTTTACACTTACAGTTATTACAAAATATTGGCTATATTCCCCCTGTTGTACAGTATGTTTCCTCTATGTGTTTGGGTAATGCCACTTACTCTGGCAAATCTTCAGAAGCGTTTTGGTAGGAAAATTAATACTATGCCTCCAACTTTGAGAATGTTTTATTGGGATGGTTGACTGTGTGCCAGGATCTAGACTAGATGCATTCTTGATTCATTTAATCCTAACTCGTGTGAGGTTACCTATTCAGGTAAATACACCTGCTTTACTGATGAGAAAACTGAGAGCCGGCAGTTAAGTATCTTGGCTCATAAGTAGTAGAGCTAGAATCTGAGCCTTGGATTTCTGTCCCCTTAGCCTTGGGCTTTTTCCGTCATGTCTGCACTCTCCTGTGTGCAAGATGTTTCTTTGGCTTTTCTCACCTTTATGTTACCATTGAAAATAACATTTCTTAGATTCATTTCACACAAAAAGTATGAAAAAACCAAAAAGGGTCCAAATGGTAACTCCTGTTGACATTTATTTTTTTTGCGGTACACGGACCTCTCACTGTTGTGGCCTCTCCCGTTGCGGAGCACAGGCTCCGGACGCGCAAGCCCAGCGGCCATGGCTCACGGGCCCAGCCGCTCTGCGGCATGTGGGATCTTCCCGGACCGGGGCACGAACTCATGTCGCCTGCATTGGCAGGCGGACCCTCAACCACTGCGCCACCAAGGAAGCCCTCCTGTTGACATTTTTTAAGGTTATAAAATACATTTGCATGTGTATAGAAAAGTCCAATAGTATAGAAGGGTATAAATGGAAAATTTAAAGGCTCTCTTCCCATTAAGTTTCTTATGCATCCTTCCAGAAAATATAAATTATGTAAGCAGATATACATGCATGTGCACACAAATATGTATATCCCCACCCCACTTTTTTTTTTTTTTGGCCATGCCGTGTAGCATGTGGGGTCTTAGCTCCCCAACCAGGGATCAGACCCATGCCCCCTGCAGTGGAAGTCCAGAGTCTTAACCACTGGACCGACATCCCCGTATATCCCTTTTTATTTACACAAAATATGTTATGCATGTTTAGTATGTATATTTTTCATGTCCAGTAACCCTTAGCTGTCTTTTGCTGTCAACATACAGAGGTTTACTGCCTGCCAATGCAGGGACACGGGTTTGATCCCTGGTCCAGGAAGATCCCACGTGCCTCAGAGCAACTCAACCCGTGCGCCACAACTACTGAGCCTGCAGCTACTGAGCCCGCGTACCTACAGCTGGTGCTCCACAACAAGAGAAGCCACCGCAATGAGAAGCCCGCGCACCACAACGAAGAGCAGCCCCCACTCACTGCAACCAGAGAAAGCCTGTGCGCAGTAACGAAGACCCACCGCAGCCAAAAATAAAATATTAAAAAAAAAAAGAGCAAGGTAGAGGATTCAGGTATGAAGTCAAATCTCCAAAGCATAAGTGAGGTTTAGAGAGGTAAGTTACAGAACCAGAACCTCAAACCAGAACTGGCACAATGCCCAGCGCTGTCTCCCAGCAACCCTGTGGTACCAACACTTTCTCATGGAAGTGAACTTACAGATGCAAATCCGCACCCCAAACCAACCCAGTAAGAGGAGAAGCTTGAGTTCATCTCCATTTCGTCTGGCTCTAGTCCCAGGCCCTTGCCATGAGGTCACACTGCCTGGATACTAAAGAGTAAACCAACTTTAAGTGTTTCAGGAGCCCTGTGGGGGTTTGGAGTACAGTCATTCCCTCTCTCTATCGCCGCTACCCGAGATGATTCCTGGCCTTCTCCACCCAGTCGACTCGTTATCACCAATACCAGTCATTGTCATTTCTGAGTCAATGTAGACCCCAATTCTAAAGAACCCTAAACACTTTAAATTCTGTTAGTGACAGGGCAAGAGGAGGACAATGTAGAGGAGGTAGCGGGGAAGCATTTCTAAAATGTCTCGTGTGTCTAATTTTCCCTTTGTGATTATATTGACTCCAGTTCCACAAGAGAATAATTGCATCTAGTTATTGAAACATGCTCCTGCCAGATGGCTACTGGTGAAAACCAGTGTTCTGACCACAAGGTAATATGAGATTCCTAGCAACTGGCTAGAGCCATGGAAAAATATGTCATGTGTTGGGCAGCTACTCCCTGAGCGGTGAGTGGGTGCCAGGCCCCGGCTGCTGGAAAGGAAGCCAACTCTGGCTGGTGTGGGGGCCACGAGGAGTGCACGAAAACGGTGGTGGCTGCTGGAGAATTCAAGTGTAACTGGCCTTCCTAGGAGCACCACGTGTGGTCAGTTTCCACAGGCAGCTCAGTACAATGCCCTTGACAATGAGTTGACTATTTTGCTAAGCGTTTTCCACCCACCACCATGCATTTATTGGCCATTTTCCCTTGGCCCAAAATGCCCCATCTCTACGCCTCCCCTGATCTTTGCCAGCCTACTCCTATTCATTCTTTGTGACGCAGATAGCCTTGGTCACCTTCGTGAAGCTGCCTTTGATTTCTGCCTTGAATCAGCATTTGAATCCCTCTTGTGAGCTCCTATAACACCTTCCCTTTAGTTCTAAGTCCCTGTTCATTCAGCGAATACGCATTGTGTACCCAATGTGCCATGCCCTGTTCTAAGTCTCACACTGTAATGCGGTGCCTAGTTTGTGTCCCCAAGCAGATTGTGAACCCCACGTAGAGGGAATCTCTGCTCTTGGCCTCCAACACAGGACCTGCATGTGACTGGTCTTCTAGGAATAGCTTAATTTTTGTAGGAGACACATGGTTACTGCCTGACTTAAGGGGCTTCCTTCTAGTGAGCACAAATAACTAGAATTGATGGGAAACAAGCATTTCATTGGGGGCGGGGGAGGGAGATTATTAATTCCTGTTTAAAGCTGGAGATGATGGTGAAAATAAGACCCCCCAAAAGAAGAAGGCTTCACTCAGGCTTCACTGGGGTGGCTGGCTTTCTTCTCTGTTCTGTACCTGACATTGCAGTGAGGTGAGGTTAACTGCCTTTGGCTGGCTCTGCTTGAAAGCTCCAGGGCCCCCTTGGTGCCTAGCAACAACCTGACTGCCCAGAATAGTGATTTTGAAGCTGGGTGTGTCTTCTGTGCAGGAAGCCACCAACACCACCAAAGCAGCCAGGGCCTCCCCTTCACTTCCTCTGAGCTAAAACTCCACCTTCAATTGGGGCCAGTACTTAGTGTTTTGGAGCCCTGTCTTAGGATCCAGCACAAATGGGATGTTTCTAGCAAGGGTAACTCCAGCACTTATGAGGTGTGTGATCTCAGACAAGTCATGTCACCTCTCTGAGCTCCAGTTCCCACACCTGTCTCGCTTCTCATTCCCAGCTAGGGTCACCCTAGCACAGCACTGAAAGCACAGAAATATTCAATAAATGTTATTGTATCTGAATCTGCTTGGCTAAAGGAAGATTCAGTGAGTGACTCCTTCTCAGCTGTCCCTTTGATCTTGTTCTTTCCTTCTGAGCCCCTCTCTCAAACAGCTCTGTCTTCTCATTTCTCCACATAAAATCCTGTTTTTATCTTCCCACTCCTCCCCATCTCTCTTCTCATTGCTTACCTTATCCACAGGCATTAAACCTCATCATTGAAAAAATTCCACACTTCTTAAAAAAACCCAAGTGTTTTAGTTTTTAGGCCAATACTACTGATGTAGTGACCTTTAATTTTTAAGGTTTAAATATAGCACACATCCTGTAAAGTGCACAAATCTTTTGTATGACTTGATGAATTTACCCAAAGTGGGCATACTCCTCTAACCACCTTCCAGATGAAGATACAGAATTTAAACAGCTCCCTAGAAGTCTCCCTCATGCCCTTTCCTGGTCATCAACCCCCCAAAAAGTAACTCTGTTATGATTTCTATTGCTCTAGAGTGGTGTTGCCTGTTACTGAACCGAGTGGAGTAATACAGTATATACGCTTTTGTGTCTGGCTTCTTATGTTCAACATTATGTCTGTGCAATTCATCTGTCCCCTGAGCATCCTGCTTTTCCATGCCTGTGAACCTGACATGCCTGTTCTTTCTACCAGGAATCTTTCTGTTCTGTCAGCACGCCCCACCCTGGCCTGACCAGTCTGTGCAATTCCTCTAGACTCAGATTAAACCTCGTTCCTTTGGGAAATCTTTCTTGATCACCTCTGGGTTTGAATCCACCTACCAGCTGTATGACTATGGCCACGTGTTACTAACCTCTCCATTCCTCATTTTTGTTGGAGATCAGGGTTTCTATATTCCAGAGTTCTTGTGAATTTCAAATGAGATAATACATATTAAATACTTAGCACAATACCTGGAACTTAGGAAGTACTTAATAAATATTACATATAACTATTGTGAATACTCTTCTTATTCCCCCAGATCCTTGTACATACCTCATAGTAGCACTTATTTTGATTATTGTTTGTCCCACTACGTGATCTTAATTCTTTGAGCAGGGATTGTATCTTCTTCATTCATTGTATTTTTTTCAACAGTCATTTATGAGTGTGCACTATATTCTAGCACTGAGGGTACAGTGGTGATGGAAGCCTTGAATTTACTTTTTAATGGGAAGAGACAGATAATAAGAAAAACAAAGAGGTGAGATCATTTTGGATAGTGATAAGCTCTAGGAAGGAAGTAAAGCCGTGTGGTGTGAGAGTGGGTTGGAGGTGCCACTGAAGCTGGGTGGGGAGGAGGTCTTCTTGAAGACGTGATATTTGAGCAAAGACCAGTGGGTGGAAAGGAGCAGGCACGTGCGGAACAGGAGAGAGAACAGCGAGCGCAAGGCTCTGGGGTAGGCACAGGAAGCTCAGATGTGTCTGAGCAATAACAAAGAGGGCAACGTAGCTGGAGCCCAGTGAGTGAGTGAGTGGGTGGTCCAGAGGAGGTTGGAGAGATGGGCAGGAGCCAGGAGAAGCCACTGAAGGGGTTAAGCAGGGGGCTATTGTTCACCTTTGCCTCCAAGGTACCTAGTACATAATAGACACCTACTGACTGTTG